AGGATAAGCTAGTAAGTTGCTGGGCAGGGGGTAAAAAGATAGCTGAAATTTTATATGGATAAAACTGTATCTGATGATCAATTTGTGCTGTATTGCAGCGTTCATGTTATCTTCCACTTATATAGTTATTTCAGTTTTACCCTGTTTTGTTGTATTTACTCATAAGTACTTTCATTGCTACTGTAAGTGGAATTCTAGTTTTAGCATAGTGCTGTTTAGAAAAACAACTAACTTTTGTATATTATTAACCTTATATCTTACAATCTTAAAATCATTTTGTGCATGTTATTTCTTAGAATTTTCTATCATGTCATCTTATGAATATATTTTTACTTTTTCAACCTGGATTCCCTTTACTTCCTTTTCTTGTTTATTGCCTTGCCTAGAATTTGATTTGTAATGTTGAGTACTAGTGGTAAAAGTGAGCATCCTTGTCTTGTTCCTGAACTAGGAACAATTATTACCATTAAGCATATTAACTTTGGGTTTTTGGTAGATATCTTTATCAAGTTGAGGAAGTTTATTCTTTTTATCGTTTGGCCAGATTTTCTGTTGTTGTTGTTCTGTTTAGGGGTGCATTATATACAGTGGAGTCTCTTTTTTTAAAATATTTTTTTAGTTGCAGTTGGACATTTATTTATTTTTATGTGGTGCTGAGGATTGAATTCATTGCCTTGCACAAGTGCTCTACTGCTAAGCCACAACCCCATCCCAGTAGTGGAGTCTCTTTTGTTACACGTTTGTACAAAATTTGGCTAATCTGGCCAGTCTTTTAAAAGAAACTTTAAAAAGGTTTTGATAGAAAGTATTTAAAATGTAAGCTTCAAATATTGAGTATAGCTGACAAACTTCAGTATGTGCATGGAAGCAGAATCGAACTATATAAAGATGAACTAACCTATACTTTAAAAACCTGGTAGGGGGTGATGATAAACCCAGAAAAAAATTACCCTAAGATATTAATTCCTCTCATAGTGCTAAAATGAGGGATTTCTACTGTTAATATAGGTTCAATCCCCAGTATCACACACAGAAAAAAGAACTAATGTTCTTACAAGAACCTTTTCTAGCTTCAAGATGTGACTTATTTAGATAACAATTCCTCCTTCTCTGAAAAAGATTAAAGTATTCCAAGATACTGGACATGTAAGTGAACATGTAAACTTTTTTTTTTTTTTTGAAACCATGAAGCCCAAGTATTGTATGGTATTGCAAGGGTAGAGGCTGGAATTCAGTAGAAACACTGATGGTAAATAACCTCAGGTTATCTTTGCCAAAAATTTAAATTATATCAGAATGAACAAATCTTATAGCAGTGTGATGTAACTTAGATGATTCATTCTATAAGTATGGAACGTCTATTATGCTTAAGTCATGTGTTCTTAAGATATAACTTTCATTAAATTCATGAAATACCACTCCCACTTGGTGGTACCAATGGAGCTTTACCATGGAGCTGCAACACCAACTCTTATTTTTTTTGGTACTGAGGATTGAACCCAGGGGTGCTTTATCACTGAGTTATATCCCCAGCTCTATTTTTTTTAAGATTTGGCCTCACTAAGTTGCATAGGGCCTCACCAATTTGTTGAGACTGGCCTTGAACTTGATATATTTACTCCTTGACCTTGATGGGATTATAGGTGTGTGCCACCACACCCATCACTTTATATTTTGAGATAGAAACTTGCTAAAGTGGCTGAGGTTCCTCTCAAACTTGTGATCCTACTGTCACAGTAGCTGTCATTACAGTATGTTATGGTAATTCTTAATGACTTTTTCTTCATGCTTGCTTCAGGAAGAGGGTATATTTGGCTGAATACCGGTATATAGCTATGAGGCTCTGGTTTGGCCCCTCCTATAGTCTAGTCTCTTCTAGAGCAAAATACAGCAGTCACTATCTTAATATGTCAAAAACAAATTTATACCTGGGCATGGTGGAGCATGCTTATAATCCCAGGGAGGTAGGAGTCTAAGGAAGAAGGATTTTAAGTTTGAGGCCAGCCCCAGCAATTTAGCAAGACCTGTCTCAAAAGAGGGCTGGGGACGTAGTTCCATTGCAATTGCACCTCTGGGTTCAAATGCCCAGTGCAGGGCAGGTTGGGGTGGGAGGGTGTCTATGTATAACTATTTACAAGAGTTGCATTCCCATGTAGAAACTCAAACATATTAAGACATATGATCTGTAACAAACTGTAATTTGGTATTTTTTAAGGAAATCATGAAAATTGAGGTATATATTTGATTCATTAAAAGCTATCATTTGAACATTATTTAAGTAGTTTAATTATACGGTATAATTTGGAGTTAAAGTCTAAATGGTGGGGCTGGAGTTGTGGCTCAGCAGTAGAGCGCTAGCCTCTCACGTGTAAGACCTGGGTTCGATCCTCAGCACCACTTATAAAAATAAACAAAGATATTGTGCCCATGTATAACTAAAAATAAATAAATACATAATGGAGATTATTTTGGAACCAATTAATGAGACAATAAAACTTGTTCTCAAAGACATGACAATATATTTTCTTGAAACAAAACCCCAAATGAGAATTGTCGTTCTGTTCATGGGAGTAACTAAAACCTTTATTAGATATGGTTTTCCAATAACAATGTGAAAACTGGAATTATCATTTCAAAGAGCAGTAAAGTTTGAAATTTTAAAAAGTAGGGGACAAAAAAAAAAAGGTAAAGGAAGACAAATACTATTTAATATCTCCCCTCTGTACACAATGTTGCATATATACAACTACTCCATTTTTTATTAATTTTATATAATGTGAAATCCCCTTAAGCAATTTAAGGTATACAGTTGGTGTCTAACTTGGGGGCAGGGCAGTAGAAACATACTTGATTAACAGTTTTCACTCATAGACATTAGACAATTTTTTCTTTTTTTGCCAAGATTTTAGTAGTAAATTCATAAATATAGGAAATACTTCACTCCTTCTGTGTTAATAGAAAACCAAACAGTGCCAGCAATAGTGGCTTAATTATTGATATACAAGAAAAGCACACCAATGGGTTTCCTTAATTATGCATTTTAAATATCTATGTGCATTTTATTCTTACACTTACAAATTTTTAATGTTTTAGACAATAGCATGTAAGTTTGAATCCACTGAGATGTTGCTTTCAATTTGAAATATTGTGTATACATGTATATAAAAAATAACCCAATGTATGACTCATCTGACACGTTTTAAGATCAATAAAGGCTTATTTTCAACATGCAGTTAGAAGAGAGGGGAGCAAGCCAACCTCTCCACACTGTCTTGTTGCTGGCTTGTTTTTCCAGTGGTATCAATAGTGGTTTTTGGAGCAAACCATGTGCCTTCAGCCTATAAATAAGACCAGATACCACAATCATCAAGAGGGGCAGAGGAGCTGTGCAAAGGGAAATAGGCAGATGATGTAAACTGTTAAGGATGCATTTTGCATTTTTTCTTATTATTGGATTAAAACAGGCCAATGAAGGGAAGAAATTATAAATAGGAACAAAACTGCAATCAAATCAAGACATAATAGCCGAATTAATTTCTTTTAATATTGCATATATAGATGTTTAGCCATACTCTAAGATCAACTCTTTAAGAGCAGAACTTTATATCCAATTTACATGCTTCAGATATCACCTTTCTTGTTTGTTACAGTAAGGTCTTGTATCCAAATATTCACTTGTACACTGAGAGCTTTAAGAAAAAAACAGGACACAGAGGGAGTTGCCATTTTTAGCAGCAATGAAATATCACTAACCCCTTTTTACATACCGAATTCAAGTCACTATCAGAGGTGAGTGTACCACAAAGTTACCAGTTACAAAATTGCTAGTTCATTTTTAAATTAATAACTTGAAATTACCCCTGCCCCCCACCCTATTACATCCCTTTTTATAAACAGCAAACATTTTTGCTTCTATACATAGGCTAGCAGGCTTGTTTCAATATGAAAGTGCTAATTCATTTACAGATTTTTAAATCAGTTATGTAGTGCTACAATAAATGTCCAATAATCTACACAGGAACAATCTTTGATGAATGAAAATGAAGACTGAATAAGGCTATCATATTACCTTATCTTATTTACATACAAAGGATACCCAATGGTGAGGAAGAGACAGAAATCGGACAAATACTCATAGGTGTAAAAATTACATCTACCTTTGAGCTTTATACTGTAAATGAGACATTTTAAATAGTCCTGTAGCCCATGCCTATTTTTTCCTCAGAAAAAGAAAAGCTGCCTTCATGACATACCCTCTTGTTTCAGATTTCCACAGTGTCACTTGAAGCTTCAGAGTCAGGATCTTACTTTCTTCAAAAAATAAAGAAAATACCCCCACATTAACCCCCCTCCCCACAAAAATCCCTCTGGTTTCACTTCCAGTGCCAGGTTGCATGATCAGGTCCCACCTCCTGGGTTTTTTTGTCCATCTATTGATCAATTAGTTTAGAGTAGGTAACATGAACCAGTTCTGGAACCACTACTAGGAGGAACACAAGCTCTTCACTACAATCACACAGCAGGAAAGAAACTGAGAACTCAATTCATCCCTGGTGCCGGGCCTCCAAAATTGAAAGAACTTGGCACAACTGGAGCACTGAATTTGTATCCTCCATGCTTCTCAATCATTTTGGATTCTAGAAAATAAATAAGTGAAACTTTAGTAGGGCATTCAATTATCTTACTACTTTGTAGGGAAAAAAAGAACTTAAGAATTAACAAGATAGTAGTTTACCATTAGTAGCCAAGGTGTTCCAAAAGTATAAGGGGAAAGAGGGCATGCACTATGTAGAGAAGATAATCTGTCCTGTTTTATGCTGTAGATTCCTTTAGCGAATTTTAATTTCCATGGTTAAGAAAAACATTTTTAAGGTACTGAGTACTGAACCCAGGGGTGCTATATGACAGAGATATAGCTCAAGCCCTTTTATTTTGAGACAGGCTGGCACTAAATTGCTGAGGCTGGCCTTGAATTTCAAATGCTTTGTCTCCCAAGTTGCTGTAATTACAGTTGTGGGCCACCATGCCTGGCCTCAAGAAAAAAAAATCTTTAAACACTCCATTGTGAGTCATAAGGAACCATGATTGATATCAGTCATATGTATCAATAAGGAACCATCTTGAAAAGAATTCCAAAATAAAAAATACTTAAGAGCTGGGTATAGTGGCATTTGCAACATAGTAAGACAGTATCTCAAAATAAAAAAGGTTGGAAATGTAGCCCAGTATAAAGCGCCTCTGAATTCTATCCCTAATCATTTTTTTTTCAATCTGACAATCTTAAAAATAAAAAAAAAAATTATGCCTTATTTATAAGAGATCCCATCTTTTTAATATTTACTATTTTTTTTTA